TATATATAAAGAATTAATTTTTATTTAAAATAAAATATTATATACTTTTTGGTTAAAACAACCACTTACAACTCTTTTCTACGATTTTATCGAATTCTAAATCCATCTTTTCTATTTGGGTGTATGATTTGACCGATTTTGAATGTAAGGTTGATAAAATATCAATAACAGTTTGCTGAATTGTCTGTTGATCCCGGGTTTTGAATAAGGAAGAAGAAGCAACAATTTGTGATTTAAATAATGATGCTTGAGACAAAATTATAGGACGAATCTTTTCAAGCAGGTCAAAAAAGGTTTTAATATCGGCTTTTGAAAAAGATGGTAGCCGGTCATCCTTAATATTCAAGGTAGAAACCTCACACATTGGTGGATTATCATCCAAAGCTGAAATATTTAAGGGAATGTAACTTTTAACATCCAAGCGATAATTATCACGTCTTTTTTGCTCTAAATTTCGGAAATTAGCCATAGCCTCTGCTAATTGTTGGGCTTTAGAGAGAAATAACTGGAACATTATCGAAACAAAAATATTATGATATTTGTACAAAGTAAATACATTTTCGACAAATCAAGCAATAAATAAATACTTTAGTATATTCGCTTCGTCTCAAAATCTCGATTAGTGTCATGGCCTAATAACATAATATAAATAATTAAAAAAATGAAGGGAGTAGAAAATGTCTAGCATTTTAATATGATAGCATATATACATAGGCAAGAGGCATTTGACGTATATTAGATAACTGTTTAAATTCTTGAGCTTTTAATTTAATCTCGGATTCGAGTGCACTCAAAGTGCCTGGAACACCAGCAATGGTTGACTCCAAGTGAGATATTTGTTGAAGACTAGAAATCATCGTTGATGTCATAATATTCTGAGCATTTATAATCATTTAATTTTAGTATGAAATATAATATAAAGTATATATTATAACACAATAACACACCTTGCATTTTACAAAAAATGCCACTTGTTCACGTAACCATTCATCTATTCTTTGCATATCTACAAGTATTATATATCACATTAAAGTGAATTAATAATAACTAGTATTCATTACCAATGCAAAAAACAATTAAACTACTATTTACCAGGTAAATATTCCTTGGCTTGATATTCAGCAAGAGCATCGAAAATACTTGATTGTGATGATAAGGATCTAGCATTCGATTTTAGAATTTCGGAAATTTTGCTTTGAACGCGTGAGAGATCTAATATGCATATATATGTGTGAAAAGATAATTTATGAATCTAATGATTCACTGACTCCATAGAGGATGATAAAAATACCTCGCTCTATTGTCTCAGCATGTTTTCTTAGTTTGGCGAACCTTTCTCGAATTTGGATCAAAGTGCTCTCCATTTTAGAAAAACTATAATAACAATTGTAAACCAATATAATTTGAACACATGTTTGTATAGACAGATATACAAACAGCAAATAGCTAAATAATTTACTTGTTGTTATATTTCTTTTTTTTCACCGTTTCCGTACCCAATTTTACATATTGAACTGTATCTTCCAATTCTTGCACACTTCGAGAAAGTTGACCTAGCATGAAAAATTTAGGATTTAATGATAATACTTCAGAAATTATTCCAGAAGTATTAAAATTATTAGATCAAAGTTTTCAACGAACCATATGCATCTCGTCCTTTTTCAGCTAGAGCTGTAAACTCATCTAGAGATACAAAGTCAGCCAAAGAATATGATTTTTGGCTATTCACAGTAATGCCAGCGGATTTTAAAATTTCTGAATGAACGGAAATATTACGAATAATTTCTATATCTATTGGTAGACTAAAAAAAAAGATAGAAATTCACATTTATTTACATTTATTTAGAATAATTACATAAAAAATAAGGGTTAAACCTAGAGAATTGAAAGTACCTTTTAATCAACATATTCTGCTTGCTAATTTCTTTTTCGGAAATCGCGTTAAATACCTCGTGGACTTCGACAACTGAGCTAATTTTATTATAAAAAAATTATGATATGATAAAAAAAAATTAAGAATTCTGAAAATTATGGTGAAGAAAATAGGATCTTAATTAAATGGATTAGCAATATTACACACCGGCAATGGGAATCAAGGTTCGAAAGGGCAACATCTAAAGCTATTAGTTGTACCCTTTGTTCTTGATAGAGACGTTCACAAAGTTCAGTATGAATGGCGGCTGCTTTAATGAATGACTTCGAAGATAAAAAGGATTTGGATATGAACATCTAATTTCTAATGACGATAATTTTTATTTGAATTATAGATTTGCATCCTACAGTATATGACTTAGTAGATGATGGTCACCTGTCCTTGGGAATGATTCTTTTGAAATAAATTGGCATAAGTACCACATTCATCGGAAATATTCAAAATATTTAATGCAGATGATTTTTGAGGTTTTTCAGTCGCAAATGTAGTGATCGATGCTGCAAATTAATTAAAGAGTTGTAAGTGGTTGTTTTAACCAAAAAGTATATAATATTTTATTTTAAATAAAAATTAATTCTTTATATATA